AATGAATCAAAATCTGTTCAGGTAACATTTACTACAAAACGTTCTATGTGCCCGCCTGTTTTAATAAACAATACTGAATTACCACAAGCTGTAGAAACAAAATACTTGGGCATACATCTGGATAGTAAGCTAACCTGGAAATCACACATATTCAAAAAGTGTAAGGCTCTGGGTCTTAAATTACGAAACTTATTTTGGTTCCTCAGCCGAAACTTCAAACTGTCACTAGACAATAAGCTGCTCATATACAAATCTAAAACCTATACTACTAAAACATACATGGAGTTATGGGGCCAATTATGGGGTACTGCAGCAGACTCAAACCTGGCAATTATTCAGCGTTTCCAATCTAAAACATTGCGAATGATCACAAATGCACCTTGGTATATAACGAATGAACAGCTGCACAAACAATTTTTTTTTTTTTTGTGTTTTTTTTTTGTGGTGAGGAGGTGGAATGCTTTATGCACCGTCAAACCGACTGTCGTCGGAATGGTGTGCCCGACTCCCTAACATTAATATGTAGTCTACGGACTAAAACACCCCCTTTTCAGCGAAACTTATCCCTCCTCGGAACCGCTTTCGCATTACTTCGAGGAGGGTCTCTTTTATGTTGACATTTCAAGCCATGCTCTTTTGATTTTCGATCTGCGTCCAGACCACCACTTTTCACCGCATTTTCTTGGTGTCCACTCTATTTATTATAATTCTTATTCTAGTTTCTAGTTTTCCTTTCTAGATCTAATTTCTTCGTTTCTGAACTTGAATCACATATGACTCTATCGTTCGCCAACTCTCTGAGTTTGCTTTCATCTTTTCCACTATGTTTTCGGGACTTATATGTCCAATCTGCGCTATTATATCTTCTCTATTTGTGAGCCATCTGTTATAGTAAAAGAAGGTGTGCTCTGCGTCGTCACAGTCTCCATCACCATAAATGCAGTCTGACAAATCCATTTTTCCCATACGGTACAGGTACTTACAAAAGTGGTTATATTTGGTATCAATCTAGCTGTCCATCTTCCTTGTGTGCTATTGTTCCATCTTTGTTGCCACATTTCGATGGTTTGGTCTTGATCTTCTCTTGCCATTTGTTGAGTATAATCGCCGTTTGTTTTCCTGTTGTATACTCTTTGGCGCTCCTTTGCTTGAAGATCAATTGGAGTTACACCTGCTATTACAAAAACCGCTTCCGCCGAGACAGTGCGATACGCTGATGTGATACGTAGAGCCGCCCTTCTATGCACTATGCGCTATTCTATGCGCTATTATTTCTTTTCTGCGCTTTTCTATGTCTAGTGCATCTGCCCACACTTCGCTACCGTATAGAAGAATTGCGTTTACTGTTGTCATTAACAATTTCCGTTTTTCCGCGACGGGTCCTCCTGTGTTAGCCATTAGTTTGCTTAAGGCAGCAGTGGCGTTCGCTGCGTTCTCTACTGCATACTTTATTTGCGCCCAAAACGTAAGTTTCCCATCTATTCGTATTCCAAGGTAATTAATCGTTTTTTGGGTTCTCAGCACATCATTATTTACTCGCATTTCTATTTCTGTGTTTATATGCTTTCGAGTTAACAGTAATATCTCCGTTTTATGAGTAGCCAGCTGTAAGCCATGACAGCTTAACCAGTCCTGCACTCTCAGCATCACTTGTGTGAGTTTTCTTTGAACTAATTGGGTATCGCGGTCGGTAATAACTGCTGCCACATCATCTGCATAAGCTACTAGAAAGGTATCTTGAGGCATTTCTATTGCTGCACAAACAATTACATGTTCCGACAATCAAGGAAGAAATAGCCAGTATTTTAAAGAATTACGCTCATCGTATATATATGCACCCAAACCCGCTGGTTACACACCTGATGTCCCCTTCCAACACTTTCACAAGGCTGAGAAGGAAAACATCGAGAGATATTTTAGATATGTATTTATAGATCACACATTGTTATTTTAAATATATATGGATATGTCACTGGGCATAGTCCATACGTGTCTTTCATTTTTTAGATCGTAATAATTATTACTACGATTTATAATTACATAATATATGTAATTACATAATATTATTGTCATTCATACCTGACAGATTGTAATAAAATAAATGGATTCAAAAAAACAAAAAAAAATGAATTGCTAAACGCAAAAATCTGTATCAATAATATGTATTAAGCGCAACTATAAAATTTTTTAATAATTTATGTTGTAATGACACTCTACCAGCCTAGTTTTCAGTCTCGCAAGACTACGACATAGTTCACAACCATTATAGTATTGTCATCCTTGGGAACGTAGGTTCGAATCCTACTGGGGCAATTACATTATGACTCTTCGTTCTGTCCAAAGGAAAATACACACGTCGGTTGTTTTGTAAGTCAATTTTATGACTTGTTTTCATTCAATATTTATTCATTCAAAAAATAAATTTTAGGTGGGACCTCTTACCCCACTTTGGTTTCACAAGGATTAATAATAAAATGTAGTAATTAAATAAAATCAATTTTTATTTTTTAATTTTGTTATTTTATTAATTTATACAATATATATATAAGTTCATTATATAAGTTCTCAAAAAAGTAATGGAAATTCCCATTACTATTCTGCTATTACGCAGAAAAATAGAAAATAAAATATTGACCTAATTACCTATTGGTAACTGCCAATATTTGGAAACCATGCATTTCCGTATATGTTGAGTTCAATGACTGAACTCAATAATATATAATAACACTTAGTTACCTGTTGGTAACTGTCAATATTCAGAAAAAATGGAATTCTGCATAGTATAAATGTTGAGTTCAATGGCGCAAAATTCAATAATATTTAATTACTAAATACAATGAAATTGCTGGAATCTGATACCACCAAATTTCTAACTACGATAAAATTAATCCACCTTCCATTATCAGAAGTTTTTGTATGAAGGCTGAACTTTCCGACCGTAGCACCAAAAATACCTTCTTTCCTGACTTTTGCGTTGAAATCTCCTTGTCGTGATCTTTATTTTCTATCGGGCTATGTGCACAAATTAGGGTGATGTAAAAATATTTGGCCTTAATACGGATTTTAGCAAGCCTTTCGTTTATTGGTGTGAAGGTTTAAACCGAATGTGCTTACGGCAAATCCGACTCTAAATTCGTGCTTTGTAGTAAATGTCACAATGTTTTCGTTTACAGCATCCTTGTCTCGCATTTTCTGGAGGGCGGTAATGTCAGCCTTATATTACTTGAGAACATTGACCAATTGTATAGATGTATCGTCTCTGTTAAGAGTTCAGGCATTCCAGATACATATTCTTAAATCATGTTCCTATAATGTTTGTGTGTATCGTCAACAGTGACCGGTTTCGTTATCCGAGGCTAATTCTTTGTTTTCAGTGGGTTCCAAACCCGACACATAACGTCATATATATATGAGAATTTCGCTGCACATATTAGTTCACTACGCACAGAAGATTATAGCTATCCAGGGGTCACGTGGAGTATATGTGTCTTGACACTGTGACGACTATAAGAAACTACGACGTCATCATAACAATAAACTTGCTATTATCAATCAGTCCCTTGGTTGTAAATTTTATTAACAACACTAACCATTTTCCGTTGGGTGTAAACACTAAATTTATGGTTTTGCTTCATATTAAATGAATTCAATTTGAGCTATACACCGTATGAATAACAACAGCAAAAGTCTCGTAAAATAAAAAACGCATAAAAGGAGACGAAAAATCCAACAGCGAGTAACTTGGTTGTAGCACATAGAACAGTGCACTTCGTTACGACACTTACATCAATTAATTCGGTCTGAGCACTCACAGCAATTCACATCGTTACAGCGCTTACAACAGGACACTTAGTAGCTGCACTGTCAACAGACATTTTGGAGCACTCGCAAAGATTATTCAGACACGGTAAATTAGATGATCTCCTAACCTAACAACATAGCGCATTGGGCATCGTTGATCTCCTAACTTAGCAACGTGACTCAATCGGTAACGTTGATCTCCTAATCTAGTTACGTAGCCCATTCGGTTACGTTGATCTCCCAACCTAGCAACGTGACTTTGTCGTGACTTTGCCACAGCTACAATATGACATTATGCATAATTTTTATTTCGAAAACACTCAGCACATATCGAGCTTACTTTTTAAATGTAGAGGCGGTCTTTTTAATCTGAACAGTAGAGAGTTTAATACATCTGATCGTGATTGTTCTATATGTAATCGTCATGAAATAGAAAATATATGTCATATTATTGGTATATGTCCAATTTTCAGAGAACTTAGGCGTAGTTTTTTTTGATAAAGCACTTCTGTCCGAAGAAGAAGTGAAAATCTTATTAAACGGTAGCAATATTTATAAACTGTATAATTTTATGAAAAGTGTTTTGAGTTACAGAAAATTAATTATTGAAGAATTTATATAAATAATAATGTTAATATTATGCACCTTCTTTTGTATGCCAATCTGACACACAACAAATATGTTATTGTCAATTTAGATTTTAAGTAAAATTCTATAATTTTTATAAGTGCTGTATGAATTTTTTTTGAATCAATAAATAATAAATAATAATAATATAATTAAAAAGTGTAAAATTGAATATTCTACTTCTTGATATATGACACGTTTGCAATTTTAGTTGTATGATATGATAAGATGAATTATATGATTAATTTAAATGATATTGAAATTTACGAATATTTGAGTATTTCACTATTAACATACGTTTAACACTTCAATACATTTTTCATCTTCTTGTGTTAATAGTGTTATGGCAGCACTAAAAATAGACAACACGTTGATCTGGCAAGACAACAACTGAAGATGATCGAGCGTGCATATACATAGAAGAAAGTAAGACTTAGCAAATGATTGTAACAATTTACTGTAATAACAATAAACTATTCACAACTGTTATATAACAACTGTAATATAACAACTGTTTTTGAGTAATATAACATGGTGTCAGGTGTGATAGCCTAAATAAAAATTCAACAAAAATGGCGGAGCTTGCAGACTTACAAGAACAAGTAAGACAGCTAAAAATGAACTAACGCGTAAAAATCAACAGCACGTTCCACAAATACAAATATTACAGCAGATTCCGCTTCCAGGCCCACTAAACATAAAATCAGGCGATATTAGCGAGAATTACAAGAATTTCAAGCAACAATGGCAAAATTACGTAACAGCGTCAGGAATTGATTCTCAAAACGAGGAAACAAAAAAAGCTATTCTATTAACAGCTGTAGGGCAAGATGTGTTTCAACGGTACATCAACATGCCAATATTAGAAAAAGAAAAAGCAACAGTAGACGAATTATTGGATGCAATCGAACGGAATTTAACACCAACAGTCAACAAACGTTACATCAGAGCGATGTTTAATATGGCAAAACAAGAACAACACGAAACATACGATGAATACTTTAACAAATTGCGCGGTCTCATTAAAAATGCACAATATGGTCCGCTTGAGAATGATTTAATGTTAGATAAAATCATATGTTCAATAAAAGATCAAAATTTACGTGAAAGACTGTGGCTAGACGAAAACATAACGCTAAATAAAGCTATCGATATCTGCAGATCAAAAGAAGTAACAGAAAAACAACTTCGCGGAATTGAATCTTTACCATTCGAAGTCAATAAAATTAACAAACACAAGAAGCATCACGACAGTAATACCCAAAAGAGATTGTGTAAGTTTTGCGGATACAATTATCACTATAAAATCGTACAATGCAAAGCAAGAAAGGAAGTATGCAGGAAATGCAAGAAAAAGGGACATTACGCCAGAGTCTGCATGTCTAAAATCAAAAACCAAAGCGACGACAAAATGACACAAAGCAAAACAAGACATGTTAAAGAAGTAACAACGATAAGAAAGAACGAGAGAAGCCAGAGTAATGAGCAATCTAAAGAGTATGTTCTGCATACATTAGAAGCTGGTTCATCAACAGGCATTTTAATAGATTTAATCATATACAACAACAACAACAACAGTTGCAAAATAAGATGTCAACTGGATACGGGCGCGACATCCAACATAATTTGGAAAAAAGATTTATTAGAAATATTTCCAGACCCTGTTATGAGAAGCACTAAAACAACATTAAAAACCCTTGACGGAGCGCGTATAATGCCAACAAGCACAGTTCAACTAACATTAAAATACAAAAATAGAAAATACAAATTAATATTTTATGTAGTCGAAACTGAACACTGTCCATTACTATCAGCTTTGGGTTAAAACCAGCAATGGAAATTTTCCAAATGAAACAAAATCAAATTATAGCAGGTTTGAAAGGTGTGGTATGCATAGCTGATGATATTCTGGTTTATGGCAAAGGAGAAAATCAACAAGTTGCAGTTGAAGATCACAACAAAAACTTAGAAGAACTCTTGAAACGTTTAAAACAACAAAATTTAAAAATCAACAAAGACAAACTTAAGGTATGCCAACAAGATATTAAATTTTATGGACATATACTAACCAGTGAGGGTGTAAAACCAGACCCTAATAAAACGAGCGCAATTTTGAACATACCAAGACCGGAAGATAAAGCTGAGACTATGAGATTTTTGGGTCTTGTTACATATGTGAGTAAATTTATACCAAATCTAGCAACAATAACAGAACCGCTACGTAACATAACACACATGAAACAAAGATTTATGTGGGGAAAAGCTTTTAACAATTTAAAACAATTAGTAACAACAGCACCAGTTTTACAGTATTACAACATAAACAAACCAATTGTAATACAAACAGATGCATCATTGTATGCAATAGGTTGTGCATTATTACAAGAAGAACATCCAATTATTTATTCATCAAAGACATTAACAGAAACACAAAAGAATTACGCACAAATTGAAAAAGAAATGCTAGCAGTTTTATTTGCATGCAAAAGTCTTGATCAATATAATTGTGGTAGATCAGATGTAACAATTGAGACAGACCATCTACTTTTAATTAATATTTTCAAGAAACCGCTGATAAAAACACCAAAACGTTTACAAGCAATGATTTTAACATTACAACGTTATAATTTCAACATAAAATACAAAAAAGGAACTGAAATGTATATAGCTGACACTCTATCAAGAGCACCAGAAACAAAAAAGAAGCTGGAAAAAGAAATCGAAATCTACAACATCGAAAAAGACATGAAATTCTTAGATGAAATGAACGAAAAAGAAGATAAACGCATAAGTACAAACACGTTTCAGAAAATTAAACAAACAACGGCAAAAGACAGAGTTATGCAGAGTCTGATCAACATAATCAAAAAAGGTTGGCCAGAACAAAAACATTCTGTACCGGAAGAAATCAAACAATACTGGGATTTTAGAGATGAATTAATAGTCAATGACGAAATAGTATTCAAAGGAAACCGAGTTTCCTTATTGTCATACGAGAGCCAATGATAATAACAGATACTCCAACATCACCATTTAAAATGATATCGATGGATGTATTCGAGATGAACATTAACAATCAGAGAAAATATTTTTTGATAACTGTAGACCATTATTCGGATTGTTTCGAGATTGATGAATTAAAAAATTTATCAGCAAAAACTACAATATATCTATGTAGAAAAAACTTCAGCAGATACAGCATACCAGTAGTAGTTATAACAGACAATGGTACAAATTTTGTTAATACAGAATTCAAAAAATTCGCAGAAGAGTGGGAATTTGAACATCGTACTTCGAGCCCATACCATCAACAAGCAAATGGTAAAAGTGAAACAGTAGTGAAAATAGTAAAACAGTTGATAAAAAAGCTATAGAATCGAACATTGATTTCTATAAAGCACTATTAATATGGAGAAACATGCCTAACAAGATTGGATCAAGTCCAGCAAAACGAATGTTTTGCAGATGGCTGAGATGTCATATACCAAACAACGATACAGAACAAGAAGTGATAAGAGATGTGTCAGAACGTATACAACAGCAGAAAAGATATACAAAGCAATATTATGATAAAGGCACAAGAAGGGAAAACAATCTAAAGGAAGGAGATAATGTATATATAAAAGTGAATCCAAATAAAAACTGGATTCAAGGCAACTTACTTCAAAAAGCCACAAATAGAACATTTATAGTCAGCAGTAAAGATAAACATTACAAACGAAACAGTCTACATGTAATGAGAAGAAACGAATCAACAGAACACAACATAACTACGGCAACAGACCCAGAACGAGATGAAGAACTAAAGAGGGATGAACGAATCGAGAAACCTGTAGACAAAAGAAAACAATATGAAAGATCAGAGCAATCAAATAGAAAGCAAGATGAACAACAGAGGCCAAGTCAACAAGATGAACAACATAGACCAAGACGTCAAGCAAGAAAACCAAAACATTTAGAAGACTACGAAACATACTAACGTTATAAAAAAGAGGGGATGTTATGGCAGCACTAAAAATAGACAACACGCGGATCTGGCAAGACAACAACTGAAGATGATCGAGCGTGCATATACATAGAAGAAAGTAAGACTTAGCAAATGATTGCCACAATTTACTGTAATAACAATAAACTATTCACAACTGTTATATAAGAACTGTAATATAACAACTGTTTTTGAGTAATATAACAATAGAAATAATTAATTTCATAGTTTTTATCATTTCTTCATAGTTTGGAGCATCAACTACTAGTTCAGCATTATATATATATATATCAGTGACGATTGCTCTAAGGTGCGGAGGTGTGCGGTGAACACCCTAACATAATTTGCAAAATGTCTAATAACATAGGTATATAAATTTATTAAGTATCTTCACATTAAGAATTATTATTATTTATTACATTTCCATATACATATATATTTTTAAAGTTTTAGCAAAAACAATTAAATATAATTGTCTATGAAAACTCAATCAATTTGCTTCTGTTTGCCGCTATACTTGTTAGTTGTGCTCATATATTTGCAGCTCAAATCACAGAACATTTCTATTTTATTTCGTCTCTCCCCTTTGTGTGCAAAGAAGTTGGCCGCACATTCATACTTTGCATATGAACAAAATAATGTGCGTGTACTCCCGTTCATAATATCAGAAATAGAGATTTATATAGTGGGAATTGTATGAGAGTAATTTTCTGTTCTACTCGAATATCAACTGCATGCATACGAATCCAACATGATGATTTGTCAAAGTGGTTGCATGAGCGGCTAAAGTTTGCAGCTCATATCACCATACATTTCTATTACATCACGTCTCTCCCCTTTTAACAGTAGCACCAACGAATTTCTGTCGCTTACTGTGCGGGGTACTTGTCCGCACATTTATACGTTGCAAGTGGGTTCGATTTTGTTTGATCACTGCACAAACATGTATGTTTCTAAGTACAAACTCTTTTGTTTGAAAAAAGTTGGTTTGATGTTACGAGAATTATGTGAAAAGTTTTGTTTCTTCCATATTGATATAATATTAAACTTATATATATATTTTTAATTTAATTTGTTTAATATGTTATTTTGTTAATGAATTGTTATAATATAGTTATTATTAATAAAAAATCTCATATATTTTAATTTAAGTAGTACATGTAAAAACAACATTATAGAAGGGCCGCACACCCTTCCAGATAGGGCACGCGTCGCCACTGATATATATATATATATATATATATAATGTTGTTTTTATATATATATGTATTATTATATATGTATATATGTGTATTAGGGCATTAGGGTGTCCCCTATATGGGTGAAAAAAAATTTATTTTTTTAAATATTGAAATGCATACCTCATATTTCTTTTTAAACTACCCAGACTTACTTAAATACAAAATTTCATCTTCCTACGTCAACTTTAACCCGTGCCGACAGAACTCTGAAAATTTTAAAAATTGCTGTTTATAACCCTTTCCGTTATATACCTAAAGCAAATAAATATTAAAATTTTTATAAAATATTTATTAAAAGAAGATAAAATTACTGATTAGGCAGGATATTTTCTTCTTAGGGTCTCTTTTTTACAGTCTGGATACAGATTTCTATGCTCCTGAATACAGCGTAGCAAAAATTGCTTTTGCTCCTCCTTTGCAGTGATCAAACCAAAAAAATCTTATATAATTTTACAGCTCTTTCAGCCGTATCATTAACTGCCCTTAAGGAAAGCACTTTCCTTTTCGCCTCCGAATAGACAACACCATTATCCCATGTAACATAGAAACGGATCTCTGGAGGAGATTTTGATCCATTTTTAATCGAGAAAATAAATTTGTACTCTTGATAGACATAAAGTCACTTAATGATTTTCCTGCAACAAGAAATAAGGTAATATTATTAACAATTTATTGAAAACTGTATAAAAAATAGTACTACTTATTGTATTCCTACTTACTATACAAATAATTCGACATATCTTCTTCAGATGGAATGTATCTCTTCCTAGAAACATACATATATGGTTTTACATAAAAAACCGCAATGAATAAACAGACGTCTTCAAGTGCTCGCTTATCCTTGGTGCTAGTTTTAAACTGTGATTACAACAAACATATCTTCAAAGAGTAAATAGCTCTAGCCATCCACCTTGCTTGATGCATCGTTCCATGAGGTCTAATTTTAATTTTTTTTTCACTGTCTCCTAAGAAAATAATAGATAGTTCAATCAGTTCCCGATAATTGTCACGTCCAATGGTTTTTGCAGCTCTTGATTATAAAATGTCAACAAATCTTCTATTGTTGTTTTACAAAAACGTCGTGTGACGATATTGGTATATGATTCATAGTTTCCAGTTTCTAAACTTTTTGAACAGCGGGATATCGGGGCTACTTGTGACTTGGTGGATTTTTGTTTCCAACACACATTTTAAAACCAGTTCGTAAACGTGATGGCGGCAAGCAAAGTGCAGTAATTCCCTGTCTAATTTTTGTTCCAAAAGTATACAAGATTCTTTCAATCGCATTGTATTAGACGCAGTTGTGTCACAGCACATTATTTTTACTTTATCATTAAGATTCCAGTCATAAAGTGCGTTCAACACAACTTAAGTTTGATCTTGGCCGGAGGAGCTCTCCAGTTTGGGTACAGCTAGAAGCTGTTCCTTTTTCCAAATGAAATTAGAATTAGCAGGCATTATTCTGTAGAACTTTTCACGTCAAGTCCAGGTAATAATTTCCTATCCCAGTGATCGGTCACCATTTCAGGCATGTTATTCTGAAAATCTGATTTTATGGATTCCGCTCTAACTTTTCGACTTTGTGTGCGAATACGTTGA